TGTATATATATATATATTATATAATATATAATATAGTTATTATTATAATATATCTATTAATCGTTAATAGTTCCTTCGGATATATTCGTTTCTTCGTCTTCTTCTCCTTCTATCCTTTCGTCGCTCCACAAATCCCGGTTAATCCTTGCCGCCTCGCCTGTTCGTGTGCGTGGACCACGCATCCTGCTGCGATGTCTCTCCTTTGCAACGCGCAAAGCTTCCCGCATCTGCGCTTGGAATTCGGATCGCGTTGGCTTTTGGAAATGTCGATTTCTGCATACAGCTTCTGAAAAAAAACAAAAAACATGAAATATATAAAAAGAAGACATATTATTATATAAACCTCATTTAAAATTATCCACTTCGCGGAAATCGCTGCATAAGTTGTCCATAAGATATCGAAATAGGGTTATTATTCAAGTAACGAAGAACTTGCGCTTCCAAAATTCTCACACATGTAACGTTACACATATACAGTCGAATAATAATTCCGTATTGCAGGATATTCCTACCTTACCAGTTGCAGGATGTAGTTCTTCGAATGATATCTATATCTCAAAGGATAATATTGATATTAGATGTTGCGTAAACATAGAAGATGATACGGCATCTTGCTCTTCTTCCACCTTTTCACATGGTTCTCGTGCATTTTCTTCATTTTCTACTACTTCGTCAGAACCATCCTTTAGCGAGCATTTAGCATCTTGCTTTGTTGATAATAATTTAACGCATTCTCAAGGTAACAGTATTTTGTCGGTTCTGAAAAAAACATACCTGCTTTTCTAATTTGCCCAAAGATGTTAGAACTCTTCTAAATACACCACGACATTGTGTTGTTTTATATAATGTTGAACCAGGCGAATACGTTCACTTTAATCTTGAAACAGAAATTGTTGAAAGTCTCTCGAATGCCTCATTTGTAACTGTTGTTAGAGAATTAGAACCTGATTTTAACACAGATGGACATTAGACAGATCATCTAGTATTCATATTTGGCCGATTCAATGCAGAGTGTCGAATGTGCAAAATATTAAACCAATAGTTGTAGGAATTTATAAAGGTGTACAAAAGCCACATGATACCAATGCTTTTTTTGAAAAATTCGTTGCCGATGTTAGATCAATTATGTCCAACGGAGGTATAAATTTTCGTGACAGTAAAATACCAATAAAATTAAGATGTTTCATAGCTGATGCATCAGCTCGAGCTTTTATTTTAAATCATCGTTGTCATATGTCTTGTTCTAAGTGCAAAATTTTTGGTATACAAAGCGAAGGTTGTTACGTCATTAATGGTGTGAATCATCCTCTTCGCACCGATGAAGAATATTTATTATGCATAGATGAAGATCATCACAAAGAGGGTCCAAGCCCATTATCTGCACTGCCAATGGGAATGGTTTCGCAAGTTCCTTTCGAATATATGCATCTTGTATGCTTAGGTGTTATGAAAAAACTCTTGTCTGCATGGGTACATGGCAAATACTCATGAATATCAAAGCTTTCGGGAAGATCTATTTCTAGAATTAGTGATCGTTTAAATATTTAAAAAAAATATTGTCCTACAGAATTTGCAAGACGCCCTAGATCTTTAGATGTATATTCAAAGTATAAAGCAACAGAATTTCGCCAATTTCTTCTCTATATAGGGCCAGTTGTAACGTATGGTATATTGAACAATTTTACAAGCACTTTTTACTCTTACATGGTGCTATAAGGGTCTTGGTCTCAAAGTGTCCATCGAGAAAACATCTGAAATTTGCAGAACTGGCGTTGCAAAAATTTGTACTTTGCTGTGTCTCTCTTTATGGTCCAAATTTCAATAGCTACAACGTCCATGGTCTTCTTCATCTCACTAATGACGTTAAACGTCTTGGTAATTTAGATTCATTTTTCGCTTTTCCATACGAAAGTAAGATGTCGATTTTTAGGAAATATTGTAGAAAGCCAGATTTACCTCTTCAACAATTTTGCAACAGAATGACAGAAATAAAACATCATAGACTACGCCAAAATCTCAATAACGAGTCATCTATTCACGTATCAATGCCGCGTAATAATGATGAAAATCGTCATCATTTTTCTAAAATACGATTTAATGGAATATATCTAAGTACTAATATGCAAGACAATTGCTGTATTTTGCTCGATGGATCGATTTGTATCGTCTTAAATATTGTCGCAGACAACTATTCTTATCGTTTGGCTATTAAACGATTTCTAGAAGTAGATAATTTTTATAAGATCGGCATGGAATCCTCAGCCTTTCAAATATATAAATATGGCAATATTACCAGCGAAATCGTTTTTATTAACTTAAATGAGGTGAACGCGAAATGCTACAGGATGCCTTTGTACGAAAATACATCATTGGATGACAATGACAGTGATGAAGATGATATGGAACCATCAAAATACATTGTCGCAACTATGATACACACGGAAGAGACGAAAAGTATGAGATGCATTCTTTTATCATACGATTGTAAGAGTTTCTGGCAAATTATTTATATATGTTGCATATTATTAATGTGCATGTATGCATGTTGTAGAAATATAAACAATAGAGGTGTATCTGCGCATTCTTAATACACAAAATATATTATGTGTTTTTATACTTACAGATACATGGATCGGCCAAAGCGCGTCATTATTAAACCATCGCGGTACGAAACGACGTCTTCGGATGAAAGTCCAACAAAGCGGAGGAGAAGCACAACAGTAGCTACCATCGGTTCAGGGACGATCGACGAAGATATCGGAGACATCAACAGAATGCTGGATGAGAATCCTACAACTTTATACAATAATACACACATGGCACACCCACATACACAACATACACCACGCACGTACATATACAGGCACACACAAACATTTCTTACATAGAATACATTCCAGAAATACAGACAAACACGACACACGCGCATACTTCACCAATTATGCTCCAACATAATACACTTACACAAAGTTTTACACTTACCACAAGTGCTAACAAATCATATTATTCTAATAATACTTTGCCCGAGTTTCAGGAAAGCACAAGAACTCGGCCCATGCAGGAACAGGACACACGCCGTGATAAAAATACTCATCGTGAAAATATAGGATATGGTGTCGGCTATTCACAGGAAACCACCAAAGACCACAGAAAAAAGATACCCTTATATTTATTTGTATGAAAATTTATAAGAGGAAAATGTGCTTGTCAAAAGTATCTACTTGTAAATATTTATATATAATTACAGGAAAAAAGAGGATCGATTCGACCGCGTGGAGGACGAGCTGAAGTAAGTATGAAATATACCGTATATTTATTAATATGAGATGTTATTTTAACTTTAATCTTTTTGTTTCCAGAAGAATGAATGGACTACTACAAAAAATATTAAAATGCGTTCAGGATCGCCATTCCACACCTCAGAAGCCAGGCGAACTTCCCATCTCGTCATTGCAACAAATGGACGCATTTGAATATATCGATGACGATGGATACTCCAATGTTGTAAGTAAAAATTATGATTTTTGTGTCTTTAGGTAAATTTATACCGAAGCGACAAGGAGCAGTCTTCGTGTAGCCAAAAACGATGTCAGGATAAGCATTCAAGATGCAAGATCCTAAATGGATAAAATTAAATAATTGTAGTAAAAATCAATTAGTGTGGGATAGTTAATAAAAGATAGTTTTACTATACTTTTAACTAGAACTATCCTTTATTAACTATATCCCTCATTAATTGATTCCTTATACTGTCATTTTAAGTATGATGAAGCATACACTCACATAAACACACACACACACTCTCTCTCTCTCTCACACACACACACACAAACGCGCTCGCGCACACACACACACACACGATTCGGGCACCGACCGTTGTACCAGTCACACGTGTTCGCGCTCGCGCTTTGCTTTTCTGATACGTAGAATCAGTGAATGTGCAGTTTTCTTGCCGTTAGCTCTTTTCAGAGCTTTTTTATTATTAGAGAGAGAAATATTTGTGCTCGAATCTTTGTTCAGAGTATTAATACGTGCATTCGCGCCGCATAAACAATCAACATCGCAGTGCGTAGCACGCGGTGCTTTGTTTGCCGCCATCTTAATTGGTACCCGATTATCGAAATATCTCATTCAGCATGCCTCTGCCACACGGCGGTCTTTCGTCTACGTCGCAGCATATTTCAGATCCTCCTCCTCCTCTCCCAACTAATTCCCCAGATGAAACTCGAAAAGCAGTGGACACGCTCAACGCATTGACCAGTACTTTTCCCCCCTACCCTCCCCCTCTCAACGACGATTATAATTCAGATAATGAAATGGATTTTTCTGCGTGTGATGTTTCTGACAAGGTAGGGGACGGGGGTGACACCCGTTTGGACACGGAACGATTGGACACGTAGTATTGGACACGGAACGATTGGACATTGCACGATTGGACACCGCACGATTGGACACTGCACGATTGGACAGAGTGGGTTCCGACCCCCCTTTGGGGGGGTCTATAAAAGAACTAGACACATAGATTTGCGTTGAACCTCGCTTCGCGTGGAAAGTGAATATTGCAACCTCACCTTCCACTTGCTTCCCCTTCTCCTTTGCCGATACTGTTAAATACCCTCTTATCCTCCTCCTTTCCCTCTCTCCCTTCTTCACTCCCTCGCCATTCCTCTTCTTTCTTTTCCAAAAGACCTCCCCCTCTGAAACATTCTCCCACCTCTCCTTTCCGCTTTTCTAGCACTCTCAGATCTCCCAATTCAGATAATCGTTTCGTTTTTCCTCCTCTTAGCTCTTTTGTAGCTCCTAACGGTCGAATGCCGCAGGCTTATCCTAATGGTTCAGCCTCTTACTCTTCAACCTCTTCCAACTCGCCCCCTCAATCTCCTAATCCTTCGGACTCTAACCAAAACTTTCAATTCTCTCTCTTTTTACTTTTAAAACTTTTACTGAACCTGGTCGAGAAATTCTCTCCCTTTCTCAAAACCTTCGGTCTCTACGACGACATTTCCTCTCTCCTTCGATCTGCATTCAACGAAAACAATTCCTTAAATCAATTCTACAATGCACACGCTTCGAACATATAATCCTCCACGCTATATCTCTACACTTAAGATCCTACAGTGGAACTGTCACTCTTTTATGAATAAGATCGACCTTCTCCACTCCTCCATGTACGAATATGATTTGATAGCTCTCTCAGAAACTTGGCTCAACCCCTCCCAATACCTTTCGCTAAGAAACTTTAATGTCATTAGAAACGACACCATTATTCGTAACTCCGGCGGATTAGCCTTTGCCGTATCGAACTCAATTCCTTATAAGCTCTTAGATAATAACTTCTCTATTCCAGGCTATATAGATACCCAAGCCATTATCATTCCTTTTAACAATAGCTCATTACTAATAGTTTCTATTTATAGATACCCGCGAGGCTTCCTTCCTGCCGGTGTCTGGGACGCGCCTCCTTCGCCTCCGTCTCCCTACTTCATTGCTGCTCATGGGAAGTCCTACCCGACTCCCTGACCAGCGATCACTTCCCCATCTCCGTCGCTATTAACCTGATGATCAAAAAACGTTCCTTCTTTTCTCATAAAATTAAACTAAAAAAGCAAGATAAAAAACAGTTTTTAGCTTCGCTTCATTCTTCTTTCCCTTCCTTTCAAGAAGCCTTCAACTCCTCCCCTCTCAACTCCGTTCAGAAATATGACCTCATCACTAATCATATCCCTGACCAACTTCCTAACCTAAATCCCAAATTCCTCCTAGTTCCCAATCCGCCTCCGCATCCTCTTCCTCTTCCTTGCCTTCCTCTGCTTCCTCCTCCTTTCCTTCTTCCCTTTCTCCCAAACGCACATCCCTTCCTGCTCTTTGGTGGAGCGATGACTGTGAGGAAGCAATAGCAGAAAAGAAAAAAGCTTTAGCGCTATACAAACGTAACCCCTCCTATCAAAATTTCATAGAACTCAAGAGGCAAAAAGCCGTCACTAAACGAACTTTAAAATCAGCTAAAAGAAAGGATTGGAAATAATTCTGTTTATTATTAACTAATGAAACGCCCATCTCCTACATTTGGAGTATGATCAAGGGTTTCAAGAAAAGGCATTTAGGTCTTCCTCCACCTCCACCTAAATCTAACTACGAAATGCCAGACAGTATTCGAGATCTGATCAATTCCTTATGTCCGCCTTCTGTTCTATACAAACTCTATTCATCTATCAATGATTTGTCTAATGTCTATTCGTGCTCGACCTTCGACGAGCCCTTCACCTCCTCTGAATTTGCCACAGTTATAAGTAATCTTAAAATCCGCTCATCCCCAGGCCTGGATAAGCTGGGATATGACCATATATCTTTACTTCGTGACTTCTACTTTCCTTTCCTCCTTGATATCTTTAACGAACTCTATACAAAAGGTACCTTCCCAAACGCATGGCATCACTCCTTAGTATTCCTCATTCCAAAAAATTCTCTTAACAAATATCGCCCCATATCCTTAATCTCTTGCTGTCTCAAACTTATGGAGAAACTCATTCTTTCTAGGCTGGACTGGTGGGTTGAGAAAAATCGTATCCTCCCTAAGAACCAATATGGCTTCAGGAAAGCCAAATTCTGCCAGGATAACATAGGGATCCTTACCACTGAAATCTACAATGGTTTTATTTCCCGCCACACCACCGCATGTGTCTTCCTCGACATTGCCGGCGCATTCGACAACGTCATCCCCAGCATCCTCATAAAGGATTTGGTCGAGTTGGGTCTTCCTCCTAAGATATGCTTCTTCATCTACAACCTCACAGAATCATACCTTTCCTATAAAGGAGTTCCCCAAGGTTCCATTTTAAGCTCTTTGCTCTTCAACATTTATGTAGCTAAATGTAGAAACTACGTATCCAAAGAATGTGACATCATTCAATTCGCTGATGACACCGTCGTCTTTATCAGATCTTCTAATCTATCTCGCTCTCTTCAACTTCTCGAATCCTCAGTAAATAGACTTGCTTCTTTTCTTAATTCTAGAGGTCTGGATATCTCTCTTTCCAAATCTGCGCTCGTGGTCTTTGCTAGGAATAGGAAGAGCCCTCTCTCTTATTCTATCAACCTCTGCGGATCGACAATTAAGTTATCATCTTTCTACAAATTTCTAGATATTACCCTTGACTCTAAACTCAATGGCCGCATCCATACAGAAACTCTCGTCACCAAATGCTCTAAACTAACTAACGTCATCCGCTCTCTTCGCGGTATCTGGTGAGGTGCAAGCCGCTCTCTCCTACTCAACATTTACAAATCTCTTATACGAGCAAGCATGGAGTATGCTTGTTTTGCTCTCTCTATCAATAACAAGGGACTTATGGAGAAGCTTGAAAAAGTTCAACGTCGCGCTTTAAGATTCTGTGTCGGTCTTCGTCAATCCACTCCTTGCAATGTAGTCTTGTCTGAAACTTACATCAGCCCTCTGAAGACTAGGTTCACATTTCATACCTCTAAATATATTCTTAAAGCCTTAGCCGACGCTTCGCATCTTGTAATAGATAGGCTTCACGATCTTCAAATCAGCATAATTAGAAGCGACAGATACAATGTTCCTAACTTCTTTCTATTGTATAAAGTCTTTCTTGTATATAAAAAATTTAAATCTAAGATTGCCTGCTTTGAGGGCCCCCCTGTTTATCACTTTGCCCATGACTCCGTTCACCTGCTATCCAACGTTGAGTTTACCTCCGCTTCATTCGTAGACGAATTACGCCAGGCACCTATTTCACAACTCCTCTTCCTTCCACACTTCAGCCACTTCATCCACGGCAGTGTTGTTCTCGGGGACGCTTTCTCGCGCATGCGCGTTAAACGTGGACTTAAGATACGTGTCAAATTTATAAGAAAAAGGGCTGTTAAGCCCTCTGCTCAGATAATGTTAAGAATAATCTAAAATGTTAATTAAATTTCTTTCCTCCATTTACATCCCATTCCTATCGAAAATAAAAGTAAATACATTTCAATATATAGCATTATAATATAAATCAGGGATTATTAAAAGGGCAATGTGCATCGCGATCATTTAAACAGCTGATTATAAACAGAGTCTGCTCGGTTTCTATTGCCAATCTGCTCTCAGATTATCTATACAGACTCTGCTC